TCCGGCACGCCTGGCTTGCGCGGAAAGAGCCGTCGCGCCGTCTGCAAAGCTTCCTCTAGGGGCATTTCGTCCGGCTCATCCACACGTAGGCTCCGCACGAGGTCGAAGATGCGCGCGTCGCTGCGCTTGTTCTCCGTCAGCTCGTGCCGCCAGCCGCCCGCAAGGTCCAGCATCAGCTGGCTGTGTCGCAGCGGCTTGTTGACGGGCGTGCCGGCCCAGGTGTCCAGCACGGCCGGGAGCTGCCGGAAGTCGCCCACCAGCAGGAACCGCACGTCGTGGTTCAGGGACACGCACGCGATGTCCGCCCACAGGCCCATGTCGAACTGCGTGACCTCTTCCACCAGCGCTGCACGCTGGCCCCCCGCACGTACTTGCGCACCCAGTGGTCGGCCGTCTTCGCGCCGGCGCCCAGGTTCTGCACGGCGCTGTGAGTCTTGCTGATGAGGTGCACTACCTCACCGCGCTCCCGCAGCTTGGTCACGATGATCCGCGCCAGGTGCGTCTTGCCTGTGCCGGGCAGCCCGGTCAGCAGGAGCGATTGGCCGGCCAGGCAGTGCGCCACAGGGTCGGCCACGTCCGTCCAGCCGGCGGCCCTTGCTGGCGGCTCCGCCTGCATGCAGGGCGGCGCGTGCTCGCAGCGGCTTCGTCGTCTCCTCGTGGCGGAACTTGGGCTTACCGTCTGCTCCGCCCGCTCCGATGAGCTTCAGGCCCGGCCACACGCGCATGGGTTGCGACTTGTTTTGTTCGGCGGTGTCCGGGTCTTCCTCTGGCTCCACGAGCTGCGCGTTCGCCGGGGCCAGGCGACGGTTCGCGTCCGCGTTGACCGCCATCCGCTGGGCGTGGCTGATCGTGAGTGTGGTGTCCGGCACGCCTGGCTTGCGCGGAAAGAGCCGTCGCGCCGTCTGCAAAGCTTCCTCTAGGGGCATTTCGTCCGGCTCGTCCACGCGTAGGCTCCGCACGAGGTCGAAGATGCGCGCGTCGCTGCGCTTGTTCTCCGTCAGCTCGTGCCGCCAGCCGCCCGCAAGGTCCAGCATCAGCTGGCTGTGTCGCAGCGGCTTGTTGACGGGCGTGCCGGCCCAGGTGTCGAGCTGCCGGAAGTCGCCTATGAGCAGGAACCGCACGTCGTGGTTCAGGGACACGCGCGCGATGTCCGCCCACAGGCCCATGTCGAACTGCGTGACCTCTTCCACCAGTAGCCAGTCCAGGCGCTGCACGCTGGCCGTACTTGCGCACCCAGTGGTCGGCCGTCTTCGCGGCGCCCAGGTTCTGCACGGCGCTGTGAGTCTTGCTGATGAGGTGCACTACCTCACCGCGCTGCCACAGTTTGGTCACGATGATGGTGCGTCTTGCCTGTGCCGGGCAGCCCGGTCAGCAGGAGCGATCGGCCGGCCAGGCAGTGCGCCACAGGGTCGGCTTGCCGCAGCGGCTTCGTCGTCTCCTCATGGCGGAATTTGGGCTTACCGTCTGGGTAGTTGTGGACGAGCCGCTCCAGGTTGTCTCGGAACTTCCGCGGCATGCCCTGCAGCACCACGCAGTCCGTTTTCACCTGCTTGATGTACTTTGGCGGAAGGCCCAGTTCTCGTCGGATGCGTGCCACCATCGTCGCCTCGAAGCCGAGCACGCAGTCGTGGATGGGGCGCAGCGTCCCGTTGTTGTGGATTGAGCGGGTGGTGATGAAGTCCCACACGTACCGGCCTTCGCCGACGTAGAATACCTGCCTGGTGTCGGCCCCTGTCGCGTCCAGCTCGTTGCTGCTGCTGCGCAGCGTGTACGCCTTGTTGCTGTCGTGCGCCATGAGCCCGATCATCGAGTTCACTGCAAGCTTTGCCATATGTTCTTCGCCCTCGGGCCAGGCCTGCTCCATGACGTCCAGCGCCGGCGCCAGGCACTCCGCGGTGACGTGGCTGGCCGCGTTCATCGTGTGGAGCACGTCGGACCACTGCGCCACGCCGCAGCGCAGCATGTAGTCCAGCGAGACCTTCGGGTACCAGCCCGGCCCCACGTAGGGCAGCAGCGTCACGGGGGCATCGCGCCCCCGATTTTGCAGGTCCACAAACGAGAGGTCTGCGAGGTGCCCGGGCCGCGCCGGCTCGATGTTGTCGGCCGGGCAGAAGATGGGCAGTGGGAACGGTGCGTTGGCCAGCCCGTTCCTGCGGCAGCGCACCACGTCCACGCCTTCGAGCGGTCCGCTGCCCGGGGCCCGCGCCTGGAACACTAACGGAGGCTGCTTGGGAGAGCGTACGTACGCGTCGTAGACCGAGCGCGTGAACCGCGACTCCAGCGACGTGGGCTGCATGCTTTCGGTCTGGGTCTTCATCTGGTGGCACTCAAAGCAGAGCGCCTGGAAGCGCTGCTGCTGCCCGGCGAAGGCCTGCCGCACCGGCACGATGTGGTCGAACTCCGCGCACCCGGCGCCGATCTGCTGCCCGCAGGCGGCGCACTTGCCTGACCTGCGGGTTGTGCTCCGCGAGCAGCAGCTGCCGCCTCGTCTCCCGTAGGTCCGTCGTGTGGAAGTGACCCGGCTTGATCTCGCCCCGCCACAGGCTCCACTCCTCCAGCGGCGGCACGGTCTGCTTCGGGTCGCGCCGGTACATGACCAGCGCGCAGCCCATCTGCTCCAGCACCGGCCGGGCGTTCCGGTAGAAGAAGGCGTGCCCGTCGTAGTAGGTGAACACCACGGTTTTGGTCTCCCGCTGCGCGGGCTCGAAGCGGTCCAGGGGCTCGCCTGTGTTGGAGACGAGGACCATGGGCGCGTTGCGCCACGCGCAGAAGGCTCGTATCTCCACCGGCGAGATGCCGTGCGCGCGCCAGTCGTGCTCTGCAAGGGCGTCGAAGTCTCCGCAGACCTCCTCGAAGGGCACGCCCAGGAGTTGAGCCAGCTGCCGCGGCACGCAGGCGTTGTCCCCGGAATCCTCGAATGCGCATTCCAGGATACTGTTGAAGCACGGCAGTTGGTACGACACGCGGCGCAGGCCTCGCAGCCTCTGCCGCAGGATGGTTTCTACGTGTACGCGGCTGTTCCGGTATTGCGTCGTCTCCGAGGACACCACCCACTCCCCCTCTGGGTCGTAGAAGTACGTCTCGTCGCTGAGTTCCATGATGGGCGCCCTGCCGGCGGCGCGGTCCTCGTCCCCCGCGGTTATCAGCCGCAGCGTCTCCTGCTTGACGTTTTGCAGTATTTGCTGCTCCGACAGCCTGTCGGGCTGCTCTCCACCCAGGACATTTGCGGGGAGCCAGTCCCTGCGCTCGTAAGCCCGGCCCGCGTTTTTGCCGGCCCGCCGCATCCCCCTGATGACCACTGGGATGTGTGCTACGTGCTGCGAGTACTTGTTCTTGAAGAACCGCCTCCCTAGGTTCGTCAGCTGGTAGTTGCCGTCCTCCCGCAGCCGCCGCACTAGGCCCCGCTGCCCGTTCTGCAGTAGCACGTAGTCGGCCGCACCCTCCCTGACCAGCGGCTGCCTTGGGTCGATGGTCCTCGACTCTGGCTGCCGCCCGAGCATGCCGAAGTAGGCCTCCCCGGCCCTAGTAACGCTCCCGTCCGCGCGCTGGAGCAACGCGTAGGCGCCTCGGCCCCGCCTCAAGCCCAAGACACGGCTTCCGTCATCCGTGTCCCGGGCCCTCGATCCGGCCTCGACCGCCTTTCTGATGTGCTCCCGCTGCCTCGCCCAGGATGCCATTGTTGGGTTTGATTGCTTTTCTTAGGCTGGTTAAAAAAAAAAGGTCGTCCGATCAAGGTGGCCGCTCCGGCCCCGGGTGCCTCAAAGCGCGCGGCATCAAATGGATCGGTTGCTTGATGTGTGGATTTTTGCATGACATTTGCTTGGTGTGCATGGTTTTGCATGTTTTTGGCATGGAATTTGCTTTTGATTGCACCCTGACCCCCTGTCTTGAGGAAGGTGACGCCGGCCGTGACGGAGACGTTGTGTTGGGGGGGGCCACTGCGAAAGTGGCGGCCACTGTACAAGTGGCATGGAGGGGGCCACTGTATAAGTGGCGGGGAGGGGGCCACTGTGAAAGTGGCGGCCGCTGTACAAGTGGCGGGTGGTGCGACCACTGTTCAAGTGGCAGGCCACTGTACAAGTGGCATGGAGGGGGCCACTGTGAAAGTGGCGGCCACTGTACAAGTGGTTGAGCGTGCGCTTTAGGGCAGTGTCGTGGATCGAAGGTTGTGACGGGGTTTGCGTGGTGCTTTGCTATTTGAGCAAATGGCGGAGTTGCGTGACTTGACCTTGACATTTTTATTTTTCATGATTTTGTGGCATGTGGTTGTCTGGACCGATTCATGTGGACCCAAGCTGCCGAACAGGCAGCGGGAGGGCGCTGAACAAGCGCAAGGCTGCCGAACAGGCAGCGGGAGGGTGCCGAGCAGGCACCGGGAGTGCTGAGCAGGCACCGGGGGGTGCCGAGCAGGCACCAGGAGCTGTCACAAGCTCGGGGGGGATGGAGCTGTACAAGCTCGAGGGACAAGCTTGGGGGGGATGGAGCTGTCACAAGCTCGGGGGGATGGAGCTGTCACAAGCTCGGGGGGGTGGAGCTGTCACAAGCTCTGCGGGCTACGCAGGCCCCAGCTGCTTGGCAGGAAGGTTGGCTGACGTCGAGAGGATGTGCTCGTTTTTTTTGGCCGGCATGTGCGTTGAACTTGATGGTTTCTAGGGATGTGAGGGTCTTGGAGGGGCGTCAAACCTTGCAGGAATACGGCCTAGGTTTAGAAGGCGTGTGGACTGAACTTGATGGGAGACAATTTTTTGAGGCATCTCCACGGGTGCGAGGGTCTTGAAGAGACATCAAACCTTGTAGGAACACGGCCTGGGTTTTGAAGACTTGTGCACTGAACTTGGTTGGCATGTTTTTTGAGCATGACACGTCCCCCAAACGACGACTTTGGTGCCCGAACAAAAAATGAAGTTCTCAAGTGCATTATGATTTTTTTGACATAGGCTGCAGTAAAGCATGGTTCTGAGAATGTGTCTGCACGACAATAAAGCATTGTCTTGAACTTCAATAAAACATGTTCAGGGAAAGAACATTCCTTTTCGACGCCATGGCTCGCCATCGAGTTGGTCAATCACGTCCTGGCTTCAAGGTTGTCTTATTTGGTGTTGCAAGTGTCGTGCTGTGCTTCTTGCACCTGCCCATCAGCTCACGTCAAGCTCTAGCAATACCGGGCTCAGGCAGAGAAGACATCCGAACACAACTCTACGAATTGACAGTGAAAAAGCTGAAGAATAAACTGCGCAAGCAGGGTTTGAAGGTGACAGGGCGAAAAAACGAGCTTGTGGAGCGGCCGATGAAAGAGATGCCAGTGAAGCGCAGAATTCCCAAAGCAGAGGATCCCGCCGTCTTCACCACCGACGTGTTCATCCCCTTGGATGAAACCATTCGCAAGCTGGATGTTTTGTTGCAAGATGAGAGGGTGGTCTTTCTACGTGCTGGTGTGGCAAGCGGCAAGTCTACATTGGCGCAGCATTTGTGTACCACACAGCCGTCCAAGTATTTTGGAGTCCATGCCCCACTTGCAAAGGATGCAACCATTTTTGAGATGTGGGAGAGAAAGATGAGGGCAGCTGTTTGGGGACAAAACTCGAATGTGAAAGACAAAGACTTGCAAGATATGATAAGATTGATCTATGACAATGACCAAGTCCTGGTTTTCGATGAATGCCACTTGCTCAGTGCTTGCCCCGAGTTCCACGAGCAGTTCCTGAAAAAGCCCTCGTATCTGAAAAGGCGTCCAATGGTTCTTATCTGCAGCGTCTGAAGGAACAGATCAGCAAGGACGGACCTACTTAACACCAGCGGCAGTTACTGCAAAGTACATGTGGACTCCCCCAATCCCACATGCCAATGAACTTGTTGATCAACTTGCTGAGGCTGATGTCTATTTGTCCCAGGATGCGGTTGCTTTCTTCATGGACTTTTGTGCTGGACACAGAAGTCTATTCATAAGAAGCATGGAATGGGTGCAGCAGAAGCAAAGCGGGGACAGCACTCGCTGGGATTTGACTCGCGCACAAGGCGAAGTCAGTCAGGCATGGGACACAGACAATTGGACAGAAACCCCAGATGACAGCTTGATGGGGAAGCTTCAGACTGTTCGCGCCATTCGTGTCAACGGAGCTTTTTCAGACCCGCAGAGCATACCGCAACAATTTGTGGACATCTTGTGCGAGGGTCCAACTGCTGGTATGGACGCGAATCTCCGGCGCAAGCTCACTTTAGTTGGTTTCACGCTTCCTGTTGTGCCAGCGACTGACAGAATTCCAGAGGAGTTTACGCCATTGGATTGGGCAAAGCTCGGGACAAAATATGGCGTCGCCAATTACATGATGGCTTCCTACTATCGCCAAGCGCTTGCGAAGAAGCGGCAGCTGACAGTGGATGTGGACAGAAGCCCAACTTCTTGCACAGATTTGCTCTTGCGAGCGCTGCCATACTTGCTTTTTGCAGATGTGGTGGCCATCCAAGGGGACAAGTTCGGAATTCGTTCTGATGTTTCGCAAGAAGAGCTCCCATTTGAGGTTCACTACACCCATGCCGCAGTTCGGGAGTTGAAGCGCTTGGTTGGCAATACAAATAGTTTGGAGAGCACAACTAAGGGGAAGGTTGACATCTATACTACGTTGGAGGACGGTTCAACTTTCGCCATTGAAGCGGTCATGTCTTCTCGGGGAGCAACCAGCATTGCTAAGCATCGAGATCGCTTTGAAAGCGCGTCGATGACAAACTATGCACATGCACAGTACAAGTGCTTGCTGATCATTGGCAAATGTGGAGACATGAGAGAGATTGTGGGAAAAGTGCGGGACGGTATAGAAGTGGTCGGACTTGCGCCCAATCCATCGCACACCGGCTACTATGTCTACGTCAAGCGGCAAGGTGAGAAAGTTGTTGACTTCCACATCCCATGCGATGGAGTTGCAAGAGGGTTCTCCTGGAAGGATGAAGAACCATTCTTTGAGATCAGTTCTGCCCAGAAATTCAAGTACATTGAGCCAGGCTGGATTTTTTTGAACATTCAAACTCAGCATTGTTTTTTGGCTTCGAAAGATGTCAGAACGTGGAGTGCGAAACTCGACCAGTTTTCCGGGCCAGTGGAAAGCAACAAACGCACTTCTCACGTTGCGCGCTCAGATTGCCGCCTGCAAGGCAGTGCCGCCCCGCAACGACCCCCAGCAGTGTGGGTCTGTCAGCTGGGAAGCCCTGCCTGGACCTTACCAGCAGCTGTGAGCAGTTTTGCCTGCCCTGCATTCACGTTCTGAAAACAGCTGTCGACTTCCTTCTCAGAAGAGCTCTCAAATTGTCGCCTAGCTCCAAAATCAAAGGCGTTTGTGGAGCCACCGGTAAAACGGATGGATGTGAACTGGATTGCAGTGCTTGTGCCTTACGAGGACGGCAAGAACTTCGAGGTCATTGGCAACCCCTTTCAAGTTAAGGGAGTTTTGGCAAACGCGGCGGCCTCAGCTGCGCCTGCGAAGGATCTATTTCAGCTTTGTTTTGCCTTCGGAAATGCCGCTTCATGCTTCGCGGGGATGTCAGGTGGATGACTTGAAGAAGGCCTCGCGCTTGAAAGGGCTCAAGCCGAATTTCGCTCATCCTGTCTTGCGAGCTGTTTGCAGAAGGGCGATGACAAAGATGGAGGGTTTGAGTGATTTCCACACTGAGCGTTGCTTGAGGCCATCAAGCAGGAGAACCCAAATACTGTATCCTGCGATGCCTATCAAATGGACATTTGCCGCCGAGAGGAGAGCTTTGCATGTCAAAGCGCACCCCCATTTGTTCCATCCCCCACACCTCACCCCCTTGCCGTCTCTCAGCTGGACTTTGCAGGACGGCGGCTGGTTTAAAGAAGATGAAGAATCAGTAGTCGACCGTGGCGAATCCAAGCCGAGCGCTTGGTTCCGATGCCTTGTAATTTTGGGTTGTGCTGTCGCCCAGCTGTCAGGGCAGACTGCTATGGATTCACGATTCCAGCTGGAGCTGCTGGAGCCGCATAGTTTGAGGCACCTCAGCAACCCAGCAGTGTTCCACACGTGCGAACTTGCATCGTTGCCAGGCTACTGCTGGCTGTGGTCACTGTTCTCGGCTGAGGCAATGCTGGCGCACAACGTTTCACCTCGTACAGTGACAAAAGCATGCGTTCGCAGGCACAGTTGTTTCGTTGCAGTGCGACTTTGCTTGACTCCTGAAGGGTAAGGCAGGCAACTGTTCACACTTTTGAACATCAGGCAACGGTGTTCAAGTCAAGCAGGGAATGCCTGCAACGGGTACAGGACCAGCAACAGTTGCCGGCGCTGGTCAACAGCTGTTTCACTGCGGCGTTCCTCCCTGTGCCAAAGCGCGCGGATGCAGTACCAAGCCGTTTGAAGAAGTGCGGGGGAAAGAATTGCTCTCGTGGCTTGCCAGTTTGATCTTTTTGAGCCAAGTTGTGCACAGGTGTTTGATGCTATTTGTTGAAGGTGGCGATTAGGGAAGTTGAGCAGCAGTGGACAAGAAATCACGCCGACCAGCGCCAGTGCTAATGAGCATCATTGCAGAATGCGGGCCAACAGCATGGGAGAAACGCATGGAGCGGCAATGTCATTACTTCCAGGAATCGCGGTAGCATGTCATGAAGCGCCAATGGCTGAAGCTGGTGTTTTTGCTGCCGACTGTGCGCCATTTCACCAGCCGAGTTCTCTCTCGGCTTTCTCGGGGCAAGCAGTTGGTTAACAAGTTCTCGTAGGTGAATGGCGGATGGGGCTTTTAAGCAAGTATCCAGCGAACAAATGGGGAGCAAGTCCACGCATTGTTCTTTATTGGACACAAATCTAAAATTGCACTTCTGTCCCCGCTGCGCACAGATTCCAGGGCGTTGGGAACAAGCTGATCTTCCCCATGGCCACGGTTTGCTTTTTTTTTAGCGCATCCCAAACCCTGAGTCTTGACGCGCAGGTGGCAGCAGTAGATTAGGCGGTAGGCCAGCTTCGCCCGCGTTTCGGGCTGCTAGGGCTCGTCCCCTTCGATCACCCAGCAAGGCCTCGGCTTGCAGCAGCGCAGCCAGCAGCTTTCCATTTGCCGCAACCTGCCCCAGATTGTGGGCAGCCATTGTGGCGAAAACTTGTTTCCGCAAAAAAGAAGGTCCTTTTTTCAACAATAAAATTCGGTTTTGTAATTTTTATACGGGCTCGGAATTTGTAGGGAGTTCCCCGATTTTAGAAAAGCCAGCAACAGGCACCGATAGCGACCTTGCTACAACTCTATGGACATCAGGAAAAGAATGTCCCACGCCGTTTTGAACAGTGTCCGCGGTTAACCCCTGTCTATCGAACTCTGCATAGATGGTGGAGGCATCTGAGACACCCTAAGTTAAGCAATGAGCTGCCAGAAACGCTGCCAGAGCTGCCGCAGACCCTTCCGACCAGGCGATGAACTTCTTCCTGCATGCCGAAGCTTGCCTCGAACTGCCGCAGCCAGGCGATGAACAAGCAGAAACGCTTCCAGAGCCGTTGCAGGCCCATCCCAGACAGGCAATGAACAAGGGAAATCTGCCATCCCCAAAGGCAGGATTGCGCCCTCAGGGACTGGTTGCATTCTGGGAAAGGGCCGGACGCAGCCACAGAGGCTGGAGCAATTCCGGGCTGCTGCGAGTACAGGCCGCGACAGGGTCGCCGGGCTGCTTGGAGGTGTACTCGGGCGTGGGGAAGAGCTTTTCGCCTCGGCTGGCGCACTTGCATGACACCAGAATCGCCGCGTGGGGAAGAGCTTAATCCTCCCCATGCCTTTGCCTTATGGGCGCATCCCATTCCCTAAGGCCAACCGCTGCCCGGCGGAAGCAACACTCCAGCGACCAAAGCGCGAGCCCAACCCAGCCAAGCTGTGGGCCGGAGCACCCAGCCCGGGCACTCTGAGCGCCTTCTGCGGGGGCTGGTGCGGGTGGGCTTGACGGCGCGGGCGGGTTGCGCCAGAACATTCTTTACATAGCGCTGCCGGGACCTCAGCCGCGTCTCTCGAACACAGGTGGCCGCAGTGAACGCTGCACACCTGCCGGCCGACGCCTCAACGCAGGACGCCCCTCGTTAAGGCGTCGGCCAGCTTCTTGGCAGTCGTCCGCAGCCCAGAAGCAGCTGCAGACGGCTGAGTTTCTAAGCTCGGCTGTTTTGCGGCAGTCGCCCGCGCGCGCCAAGGCAGCCGCACACGGTCCCTAGCTGCGTTTCTGCGTCGGTCGGTTTTTTCTTGGCAGTCGCCCATGCGTCCCCGCAGCGCCAAAGCAGCCGCACACGGTCCCTAGCTGCGTTTCTGCGTCGGCCGGTTGTTGTTTGCAGTCGCCCGAGCGTTTCCGCAGCGCCAAAGTAGCCGCACGCGGTCCCTAGCTGCGTTTCTGCGTCGGCTGGTTGTTTCTTGGCAGTGGCCCGAGCGTCCCCGCAGCGCCAAAGCAGCCGCGGACGCCTGCGGCTGCCGGGCGCTGCTGCCAACGCCCCACGGACGCTTGCGGCTGCTGCGGAGCTGCGGAGCACAAGAGGCCGAATGTTAACAAACCTACTAGCGGTTCAAATTTTGGCTCCATGAAACCAGATGACTACTGAGACACAAAAGAGGCAAAAAACAACTACTGGCGGTTCAAAAAAAACTGAGCCTAGAGTGTCGAGAGAGAAGAATGGGGACACTCTAGGCTCACTTGGTACCTTCTTGTCCGTGGCCTCGGCGGAAGTGTCCTCGGGAATAGCCTGTAGGGGCGTGTGCTGCAGGGGCCGAGGGCGCTGGACTGGACGAAATCGTCCAGGTAGAAGTGGCTTGTGACGAACGACCCTTGCGGTCCGGTTGATCCAGGGGCAGCGGCTCATTCCGCTCAAGGTACCTGCTCAAAGCGCGGGCGCTGATTGAAGCCGTGCGCCCGAAGTGTCTTCATTTCTTTTACTGTTGCGCAACTTCGTCCGCTGGCGGTGCACGGCCTCCGTCAGCCGGCTCACGTCGTCCAGGTGCCGCTGCCCCTCCTGCGCCTGCCTGCGCTCGCCTAGCCAGTTGTTGAAGGCGCCTCCTCCAGTTCTCGGTAGCGCTTCAGCAGCAGCGGCTGCAGGTTGTAACTCGGATAAGTTTGCGGAACCACCAGAGCATCTGCGGCTCGTTGCGGGGCTCAATGGACATCATCTTGCTTTTACACTAGTATGCTTGCGCCTGTTGTCAACCGGTCATAAGCCGACTGCCTCTCCAGCATGCGCAGGGCGCGCTGCTGCTCTCTTGTCGGCTTTGGCTTGCGCTTTGGGGCAGCCGGCTCAGTAGGCACGTCCTGCTTCGGTTTGTTCTTGCTGCCAGGAGGCCTCCCCCTCTTGTGCAACGTGTGGTGCCTCCAGTTTCTTCATTTCCAACTTCTTGGACGCTTCCGTGATCTTGCGCTGCTGCTGGATGATGCGCCGCAAGGCGGACTCATCCCACTCGTCCCAGTAAGCCTGCTCACGCTCCGTGTTCACCCCAGATCCTGCTCGATGTACTTCTTGACGGGGATCCAGCCATCATCGATGTTGACGCTTGGGCTGAAAACGTAGATCCGCTCAAACACGCCCTTGTACTGCTCCAGGATGAGACTGATGAGCGCCACAGTTTTGCCCGACTTGCTGGGCCCCAGGAAGATGCCCGTGCATGGCACCAGGGGCACCACGGGGTCCGAGGCTTGCTTGCTGGTGTACTCAGGCGTGGGGAAAAGCTTGATCTTCCCCATTCGTCCTTTTGCGTTACGCAAGTTCCGGAAGCCGGCCAGCGAGTCCTGAAAGTAAAGGCCGGCTGAAGTATACGCGCTGGCCTATCTGCGGCTGCCCTAACCCAGCACAGCAATGCAATCCCGTTGCCGGCGCAGGATTGACGGAGACGCAACCCAAGGCTCACATGCAGCAAATGAGGCCAGAAACGCACTTACAAGGCCAGAAACAGCGCTTTAAGCCCGGGCAACTTAAACTTCCGAGACGCACAGAATGCGACTAGGACCCGTTTTGCCTGCATATTGAAGCAAGCGGAAAACCCTTTCAGAAGTGCAAGCAGAAGGGCTGTGGCCGCACCGCGCAAAACCACCAAATTTTCGCAGAATCCACATTTGCTGAATGATAACCTCTGAGAATGCGCTGTGAGCGGTTTTAGATTTCA